ATATAAACATTAGGATTTTTAAAATAATCTTTATAGGATCCATAATTCGAATTTAAACGGATTTCTCTTCCTCCCGTTTTGCCAGCACGACCAACCTGCACAAATCCTCGGCCCAATCTGATTCTATATAATATACTACAGTCTCGGCGAGCGTATACATATAGATATACCTATACCCATGAACGCTCATCTACGTGCATTTAAGTGGTATTGTTCGAGCGACCGATCGATCAACAATAATGCATAATGCACTAAATCTTTGACTGGATCTTTAAAACATCATTTTTAACAAAACTAAAACCGTGGTGACGAACTTTCGGCGGAGGTGTAAGNTTAACCAGAGTTCTTAATAAAGAACAAGGCTGGTAATGTAATTACAAAAAGTCTTATAATATCTAGACGTCTTCCTGCAACAAAATTACTAGTATTTGTTGACTGTAACACATTCATAAAGGAAGACCCAATTATCTCGTTCCTTATAGAGATTTTTATAAATAACTTAGAACAGCAAATCACAATAAATTCTTTAAGAAAAATCTCCTATTCAAGTACTGTTATATTGAAGATGTGATTTGTTGCTGGACTGAAACTAATAGACGCTAAGTTTTTTTTTCATACACACCAATATCTTTTGTAGAAAAATTTACTTTACTGGAAAAATAAGAAGTAATAACAAAATGAATGTCTTGAACTGGACTGTAAAAAAATGAACTAAAATATAGATGCAGACAATGTTGTGAATACCAAACAACTACATCCTTATTCTTTCAATAATGTCTTCATTTTATACCTCTATTGACCAACCTATGTATATATATATATATCCCGGTCAGAGTATCCCTAGTATTAATTTGTGGCTATCAGGGCCATAAGTGAATACGGACACCCCGTTACAATGTATACATTACAACCCCTGAACTGTTATATCAATTTAACTAAATATACTTTCAATAAAAAGGTAAACGCGCACTTACTTAAAAAAGTTTACTTACTAATTTGGTGAATTTAAAAAATAATATTACAACATTACGGGCGACACATCACCACCCGGTATCTTACACATATGGCTAATATGTATACGTTACAGTTGAATTATGTTTGACCATCACATTGTTTTTTTTATTGAATGGAATAAGAATAAAAATGGTACCGATGCAGTAGCACAAGTACTGTCTTAAAACGTTCCATCTAATGGCTAGAGGTAATAATTTGACTTTGTAAGCGTTTCTATAGTTAAACCTGTATATCAAGCATCCTAATAAGAACACTGTTACCATTGATCACCAAAAATATTGTCAGAGTGACAGCGGGTAGTAGCAAAACTTGACTTTTTTCTCCTTTCGCTGTGACGTTCCACTGGCTGTTTTCGCCCCATGTAAGAACGGTATAATTTTCACTCATGGTCAACAAATTCAGATAGAAAATCATTAGTTTAGTCATGTACGCGTATTTGAAAATATCTTATTTGATTTTACATTATTTTCATTCTATGTCACTGTAAATTTCTTTGCAAACTCGTACGCAATATACTATTACACAAGACAAATATGAACTAGTAATAGTAGGAGACTGTGAATCAATGATAGTTACCGTATATCAGTAAAAGACTATTGTAGTAAAATCATGTAGCCGTTTGCAGCTCTCATAAAAAACATAGGAATATACAAAGAAAGGAGACAGTGGTTTCTGAATATACTTCATAATAACAACATACCTTTGATTGGAAATATGTTAAAATCTGTGACAAAGAGTCCAATTTTATAAAAAGAATTACAGCTGCAATAATTCATATCGATTTAACTAAGAATACTCTTGATAGGCAAAAATATTAAAAGATTTTGATTTCCTTAGAAAAGTTTACTTTCTTTCGTGGCGAATTTCGTAATACTATAAAAAGCGTTGAATCACCGTCCAGTATCTATTTACGGGACTTATATGTATACATTACAACCCCTGAACTGTTATATCAATTTAACTAAATATACTTTCAATAAAAAGGTAAACGCGCACTTACTTAAAAAAGTTTACTTACTAATTTGGTGAATTTAAAAAATAATATTACAACATTACGGGCGACACATCACCACCCGGTATCTTACACATATGGCTAATATGTATACGTTACAGTTGAATTATGTTTGACCATCACATTGTTTTTTTTATTGAATGGAATAAGAATAAAAATGGTACCGATGCAGTAGCACAAGTACTGTCTTAAAACGTTCCATCTAATGGCTAGAGGTAATAATTTGACTTAGTAAGCGTTTCTATAGTTAAACCTGTATATCAAGCATCCTAATAAGAACACTGTTACCATTGATCACCAAAAATATTGTCAGAGTGACAGCGGGTAGTAGCAAAACTTGACTTTTTTCTCCTTTCGCTGTGACGTTCCACTGGCTGTTTTCGCCCCATGTAAGAACGGTATAATTTTCACTCATGGTCAACAAATTCAGATAGAAAATCATTAGTTTAGTCATGTACGCGTATTTGAAAATATCTTATTTGATTTTACATTATTTTCATTCTATGTCACTGTAAATTTCTTTGCAAACTCGTACGCAATATACTATTACACAAGACAAATATGAACTAGTAATAGTAGGAGACTGTGAATCAATGATAGTTACCGTATATCAGTGAAAGACTATTGTAGTAAAATCATGTAGCCGTTTGCAGCACCAGTGGCTCTGGTTTTTAAAAATATCAAGAAAAAATACCTTAATGATGCATCGACTTCGAAGATTTAAACAAGATAATCATACTACAAGCGCAACTTTCTCTACTCATCGATGTTATAGTAGTAAAAAACCAGAAACCTTAGTTAATTTGCAACGTTAGATATGAATTATGCATTTTTATCAATGCCACTAAGGAAAGAAGACAGAGAAAAAACTAGCTTTATAACACAAAAAGGAAGCTACCAATATACTTGCTAACCGTTTGGTCTAAAAACAGCACTAGCAAAGAAGGATTTATATTTTGATTGAAGAAACGCACATTTGTAGTGAAATCAGTAAATTGCTTAAGAAACATAATCGAGAATAACACAATAAGGCCTATTGCAGATTACTCAAGTTCCATTCAAATCTTTTCAATTCCCTGACGTCAAAAAAATATTAGACAGTTGGCAAGAAAAATTAACTGTTACTATAAATGTATATACCAGAAATTTCAATAATACTAGATCCATTACATAGATTGTTATGAAAAAATAAGGTCAAAAGAATGTGAAAAATTCTCTACAAAGATAAAAAAGTTATTATACTCCAATTCAGTCCTATAAATGTATGATAAAAATTTTGCCGTCAAATTATATACAGATGCTTCACTAGAAGGCATTGGTACAGTATGGATATAAGTTCAAATAAAAAGGAAAAAAACCAGTGACTTTTTTTGCAAAAAGACTAAAAGTAACACGAAAAAAGCTATATATTTTAAATGTCTTGCTATTAAAGAAGTAATAAATTATTGGGAACACTAGGTTGATTGAATGATATTTTAAATTGTATTCAGATCATGAACTTTTAGAACATCTTAATATTGAAGTAAAAACTGACGCACAACTGGGTGAGTTTACATACTACCTATTACAATTCGAGTTTAAAATAAAATATTTACTAGAAAAAGATAACCTTAAAGTGGATTCTCTTAGTGGAAATCGTGTATTAGAGCCAATTAAGACATGGTACATGCTAAAAGTAGTAAATTTTATAAAGGTAGATGATAATATATGAAGAAAAGTCGACAAAACAAATATGTTACGAAAAATATTTTAAAAAATAACTGATAATAATTGCATTTTTAAAACTAAGGAAGGAATTCCANTACAATATTTTTCATAATTATCATTCATATTAAAGTAATTTTTTAAAATTTCGTATACAACTTCAAACCCTACAATCTGCTGTTCTAGTTCATTCATAAAAATCTCCATATCTAACGAGATAGTAAGTTCTGTTTTTATTAGCCCGTCATTATCACCGACTAAGTAAGTTGGTGCTAGGTAGACATTTAGATAGACTTTCTAATTTCTTGTCTCTTGATCTAGTAAAATAATTAACCAGAGTTCTTAATAAAGAACAAGGCTGGTAATGTAATTACAAAAAGTCTTATAATATCTAGACGTCTTCCTGCAACAAAATTACTAGTATTTGTTGACTGTAACACATTCATAAAGGAAGACCCAATTATCTCGTTCCTTATAGAGATTTTTATAAATAACTTAGAACAGCAAATCACAATAAATTCTTTAAGAAAAATCTCCTATTCAAGTACTGTTATATTGAAGATGTGATTTGTTGCTGGACTGAAACTAATAGACGCTAAGTTTTTTTTTCATACACACCAATATCTTTTGTAGAAAAATTTACTTTACTGGAAAAATAAGAAGTAATAACAAAATGAATGTCTTGAACTGGACTGTAAAAAAATGAACTAAAATATAGATGCAGACAATGTTGTGAATACCAAACAACTACATCCTTATTCTTTCAATAATGTCTTCATTTTATACCTCTATTGACCAACCTATGTATATATATATATATCCCGGTCAGAGTATCCCTAGTATTAATTTGTGGCTATCAGGGCCATAAGTGAATACGGACACCCCGTTACAATGTATACATTACAACCCCTGAACTGTTATATCAATTTAACTAAATATACTTTCAATAAAAAGGTAAACGCGCACTTACTTAAAAAAGTTTACTTACTAATTTGGTGAATTTAAAAAATAATATTACAACATTACGGGCGACACATCACCACCCGGTATCTTACACATATGGCTAATATGTATACGTTACAGTTGAATTATGTTTGACCATCACATTGTTTTTTTTATTGAATGGAATAAGAATAAAAATGGTACCGATGCAGTAGCACAAGTACTGTCTTAAAACGTTCCATCTAATGGCTAGAGGTAATAATTTGACTTAGTAAGCGTTTCTATAGTTAAACCTGTATATCAAGCATCCTAATAAGAACACTGTTACCATTGATCACCAAAAATATTGTCAGAGTGACAGCGGGTAGTAGCAAAACTTGACTTTTTTCTCCTTTCGCTGTGACGTTCCACTGGCTGTTTTCGCCCCATGTAAGAACGGTATAATTTTCACTCATGGTCAACAAATTCAGATAGAAAATCATTAGTTTAGTCATGTACGCGTATTTGAAAATATCTTATTTGATTTTACATTATTTTCATTCTATGTCACTGTAAATTTTTAAAAGTATTTCTCAATTAAACTTTTTTAATAGTTTTGTATCTTATCTCGTCATCTTCTACAGATATGACAGGGTTGAATTCACGTATGTTTTCAACAAACTTTAAACGCATAATGTAGCAAACAGAAGTATCTTAAAACTTTTTTCTATATTAACAGTTTTAATTTTAAAATCCTTGTTATAAAATCATCAAATATTTTTCGTATCAGTTGCAGTGACGTCATTGTGCAGGTATTCGTACGATGGTATTGCGATTTCAGGGAGGGTGTTTACGCAGTTTTGCCGGATCAATGGAATCGTTATATCATGTGGTAACGACGTGGTAGCTAAGTTATCTTCTTTTGTTTCAAACTGGCCTTCCGAGATTAAGTTTTCATACTCATGATAGAATCTTAGAAAATGCAGTTTACTATTATCTTGTAGAAGTTTTCCAATGCTTTCGACCAGTATTGTAAAAGACGGCCTCGATGTTGGTTCTTCCTCCCAGCAATGAAGCATAATGTCGTAACTAAAAGAATTTTAACAATGTAAAATAATAGTTTTATCGAAATGGTTTTCTTAAAAAAACTACTTAAATGGTTTTCTTTTACATGTCTTTCGTAGCATAAGCCGGCTGACCCAATCTGTAGCCCTTAATTAATTTCTGATACATCTTCTCGAACCCCATACGTGAGTAAGGTATTTCGGCTAGGGTGAAAAATTCCCATAGAACTACACCAAATGACCATACATCTGACATAGTGGAAAAGACTCCATCTCTGATGGACTCAATAGGCATCCACTTCACAGGAAACTTTCCTTCGTGTTGCTTTTTATAGTTTTGGTCTTTATACAATGTCTTTGCCAGTCCGAAGTCGCAGATTTTGACAATGTTGTTCTCTGCCAGTAATATATTTCTTGCTGCCAAATCACAGTGCAGTACCTGACAACAAATAAATAGCATTTACCTAAAGTTAGTTAATATAAAATTAAAAACAGATAACGATTACAAATCATGTACGTATAGCCGCTTGCCTTTCTTTGGGTAAGGTACTCCATGCCATTTGCTACTTGATAAGCCCATATCAAAAGATCCTCAGTGCAGAGATACGCAAAATTTTCATCTGTGTAGTCCCCTTGGTAATTAGAACGCCAGTCTGGTTGGGTGTCATCGTCGCTAAAGTCATCATTGGCCACAATTGAGCCACTTGACATGGGCTTATTGTTTGGACTCTCACATGAAGCAGTCCTTGAATCGTCAGAAATCTCGCATCTTGTTCTGTTACCCAACAATATAGTTTATACCAAATCAAACTTAAACTAGAGTGAAAACTTAAGATATTTTAAAAAGCTGTTGATACAAGGTTAATTTATGCACTTTACTATTTAAAACTAATCACTCCAAATTCTAAAAAAAGAAAATATAAATAAAGTAGTAATAACGAGATTGAATAGAAAAATCATGCAGGGCATGTAAATATCTAAATAAAGATACAAAACTTCACCCATAAGATAAAAGTTGGCTTCAAACAAAACCAAATGATGGAAGTAAAGAACAACCAAAAGTAATGGTTTATAGGAATTAGATTATTTTAAATTAGAAAAGAAGTGGATGTATTATATTCGAACGTGATGATTTTGAAGATTTCTCAATTATACTACATATAATGAAACTATTTAGATTATCTCAAGATGAGAATACAACATTTCTCACAAGTTTATCAATAATAAAATGAACACGGAGAAACTAAAAATAAGCTGATGGAAGTTAAAGTGAACTTGGATGAGCATATTCAAGAAAAATTTGAAGAAAAAATGGAACCATAGACATAATATGACCATTCAAAAAATAAAAAATAGGAAAATTTATAGAAAAGTACAAATAATTTTTTCCGCCTTCTACTTAATCTCAAAATAGCACCTTCACCGCTTGATTTTGGGTTCTCGGGCGTAAAAATAGTACACGAAACTCGTTCGAAAAGGCTCCTTTACGAACCTCGTTACGACCCTCGCCTTTGACTCATACCGTAAACCTCTCGGTTCGTAAATCGAAGCCTTTGCAAACTCGTACGCAATATACTATTACACAAGACAAATATGAACTAGTAATAGTAGGAGACTGTGAATCAATGATAGTTACCGTATATCAGTAAAAGACTATTGTAGTAAAATCATGTAGCCGTTTGCAGCACCAGTGGCTCTGNTTATCCACCCTGAAAATAAGTGCATTTCTTAATAAAACAAGTACAGGTGAGTAATTTATTTATTAATTTCAATAGTATTACCATTTTAAAATAGGTTTTGGACATGCAGAAACGGTGGCCACAAAAGAAACAGATTCACCACGTAACCTGGACATTTTTTTTTCAACTGAGGTCAGATTAATATAAGCACTGTTAGAATCTGTTGAAAAAATAATTGTTAGAGCCTATTGATAATTACTAAAAAAGTATGAACAAAACCAATTTATGACTCACCATATACGCAGACATCTACATCAGAACTTCTTCTTTCGTTAAACGATGTTGTGACTTGGCATTTATAATTCCCTGTGTCTCCAAATGTTACGTTGTCTATAATAAGCTCTGATGTTATTATATTGTATTTGTAATACTTGGTTGCAACTTCCTCAATGGTATTTGGAATTATCCTTGAAGTCTAATTGATTTTTATGATTTGGTAAATGTATCGAATACTTTATGCAAATTTTCGTCGTTACTTATAAGTTTTAACATTATAAGGATATTTAATTTTACCAAGTTCTGTGGAATTTTCCAGAAAATGTTGTAAGTGACTTCTCTGCTGACTTCAACAATACATTTAAAACCTAATCTAGAGCCTACAGTGATATCTTGTGGTCCATTCGTGATTATTGCCGTACTAACACAATTACCATGTTTAGTAGGCATAATTCTTGATTTTATTGTAAATGATGTATGTTTTTGATTTACTGTGCAAGTAAATACCCAGGCGGGCTTTACTTTTGTATCCCGCATGATGTAACCTATCTTAGGATCAAAAGTTGTCTTTTCACCGAGTGCAACAACCTTAGACAATTGAAATATCTTTTGAATATTCAATACTTATATCACGAACAAATATTTTAACAAGGTTATATTACTTTTCGGTTTCTTTTAAAAATAACTTTAAATTCAGGAGAAGTCGTCTGGCACGGAAAAATTATGTATCCAACACATCCAGATGCCCATAAATAATCTTCTGTTCCATGTACATGCACAACTTGCACCACGATAATTCTAGAAACCAAAATTTTTTTTACTTGTACCATTTATTTGAAGAAAATATAATTTTCTGCCATTTCCTTATACCACAAATTTTTTGCTACACAATAGTAATTCCTTTCATCTGAATGACTGACATTATTAATAGACATAATGGCACGATGAGTTAGGTTAGTTTCTTCAAACATGACGTGTATTCTTTCTAAAACATTTAAAGATCAAGATTATTTAAGTTTAGATTGACTCTGACGCCTTTGAAGTTTGATTAATTGCTTGTTTAACATAAATATAGAACTGACCAGAATCTTCAAGTTTCTTGTTTTTATCATCACGCCAGTAGACTTTGGAATACATGTAATTGATAGCAGCACATACTAGAGAAACATTTTGACCTTCGCGAAACTTCGTTTGCGTCTGTATAATTCCATAAGCCTTATTGGGATCTCCGTCTTTCAATAAAGATATGGGTGTTAAAAAATGTATTAAATCTAAATTTTTATGGAACTAGCTGGATTAAAATTTTATACCTGTAACATGAATATAATGTGTATTGCTGTTGCATCCATAACTATTACAAGCCGTGCATTTGATTGTTGACTTCGTTTGAGGTCTTATGGTAACTATGGACTCATTTCCATTACTTTTACTTTGAGCATTTGTGTTCTCATCGATAACATACTATAGCACAATTTAAATAATTGTTATTTGTCATACTTTAAAAGGTTATTTAAAATCATCAATGTAAATTAACAAAGTTCTGCTCTTTACAACGAACAAACCTGTAGTTTAGAGGTTTCATCAATATGTTCGAGCTTCCTCGGGTTACTCATATAGCTCCATGATATATTGAACTTGCGATTACTTTTAACAAGGCAAACAAACATTGCAGTCTGGTTAAAGCTATAGTATTTTTTAAAATAACTTGGATTAAACCTCACAGTTGGCTTATCTACAAATAATAAAATAGTGGGAACATTGTTACAAAAAAAAATTAAAATAATAATAAAATGTACATTAAAACGACTA